TATATATACATGGCAGAGTGATAGTGTTTATTATTATTAGGTAGGAGAAATGGGATTTAAACTTGGATCTCAGTCAGTCTTTAGCTTTGGTAGAGCCCCAAAGTGCACTGAGAAGTTGTGGGAAAAGGGCAAGTAGACTCACAAAAGCAAAGGATTACTATTGGATATAAGGCTACCTTCGTAATCTCATCACCCCTGCGCTTTGAGTGCCTGATGTATACTAAGCGTAGTGGTGGGCCCTGTGGGAAACTGACAGTGAACTATCATATGCTCTCTGTCTTTAAATAGCTCTTACAGTGGTGCACACCTATGGCATGTGTGCCTCAGTGGGCATGCAGAGCCTTATCTGTTGGCATGTGAGGCAAGTATATGAATTATTTTCTCTAAACTAAAGCCTCAGAATTCAGGCTTCATGGTAAGGTTGGCGCTTAGAGATAAATAAGTGGGTTTTAGGTTGTAGTTTGGGCTCTCGGTCTCGAGAATGTGTGCCATTACTGCGGTAGAACATGATATTTTAACCTCTCACAACCACTCCATAGAGTCCCAGGTTATTACAGCAGGATTGAGGTAGGTACCATTCTTCTCCAGGGCTGAGGATGGTCAGTCCGCTGCCACCTGCTGCCACCTCAGACCATCTATATGCTTCCCTTTCCAGATGTGTGGATGCAGCTACAGAAAACCTGGAAAGCCTTCCTCTGACATAACTCCAGCTGTCTTGACTTGAAGTGCTGACTTTGTTCTTTAGCCTACCCTGGGTCTCATTAGAAAGAACTAATGTAGCCTTCCCAAGACTGGATCCACGTAAGACTTGACTTTTGGATTTTTTGACTGCAGAAGAACTCAAACATTGATAAGGAGGCATGTATGGGCCAGGAGCGCTTGGTTTTCTGGAACTGGCAGATGGGAGCATGTGACTACTTGTTATTCTAGTCACTGAGTACTTTGTTGAAAGTACTCTTGGACGAATTACATTTAATTTTGCCCAGTAGTATGCAGTAGTATTGTTTGTGGAATACTCTAGAGTCCTGAGCTTATATTTACTACATGATTTAACTGTGAGTTTTACTTTTTTGGGTTGTACTCCATGCATTAAGGTAAATCACAAAGCGCATTATACCTTACTTTTTAGGGTTTTTTCATAGCCACTGCCACAGAGGACTCTGCATCTGACAGAGGTGGGAGATTTTTCCAGGACGCTAGGCAAGTCATTGCTTTGCTAATGTTAGAAACATGGTATTTGCTAACATGGATATGTCTGAAAAAATTCTTATCCAGCAGCTTATTTTGCTTCTCCTGTTGCCCTTGGCAAGGCATTGTTAGCTTCTTCTTTGCTCCTGGTCTCAGGAAAGGTTATGTGTTGTTTTAATAACATGTGTATATAATGGCCATTAGTGCTAACGGGATATATTCTTTCAGCAGGACATAATCACCAAGAGCATGCAAATAAGCACATTTGCTCTTCCTCAACACTTGCTGAAGGCGCCGTTCTTGAGCAACATATGGTCTCTAAGTCACCTCCTCACTCTGTTCCGAAAATTTTCCTTATGTGTCTTACTCATCAATTTTTTCTCCTCTATTTAAGAGATGAATTAAACCAGTAGAAATTGGGATGACAACCCTTTTTAGATCGAAAAGAACTTCTTTTCTTTGCTGCCAAAATCCACGATAGCATTTTTATTTTTCATTTATTTTATTTCTTTTTACATCACCAATTAGCACCTCAAAATGATTTTTGCATCTGTTATTCATGGGGTGTGAATTACAAAAATTCTAGCTTCAAAGCTTCTTTTGCTCTATTTTGCAAAAAACCCTATTATTTTATCAAATGATTGCACAGGCTTAAGAGGTAATAGTTTAAGATGCAATGTGAACAGCATTTGTCCAAAATAATTTTAGAAAGTGGCTGCTAAATGTCTGATGAAAGCTAATGTGATCAATACCGAGAGAAGAAACCAATTTTGAAAGAATACCTACTGTGTGCTGGGCCTTGTATTTCTCTTGAATCATTTAATTTATTTATTTATTTTTTTCTAAGCAAGGCAACTAATTTGACTACTTGTCTGGGTTTATTTATTTATTCGGGAAGTCATTCTCTCACCAGAAACATAATTATGGACCAGAAGTTTATGTTAGGCCTTGTGCTTGGCAGTAAGGAGACAGAACATCATACATGTGATATGTCTGGTCCTTGTCCTACGGGGTATATCATGAGGTTGTGAAGACAGATACAATGTGATTAAACAAAAAATCAACAAAAAAGTAAATGGTTAGTAAACAATGTAAGAGACAATAAACAGAATACTTGATACAATATCATTGGGAGTTCAGTGTGCAAGAACCTCAATTGATTTTGGATGCCACAGGAAAGGTAGGGGCAGAAGCTTTGATTCAAACCCTAGTTAATTTGGCCCCAAAGCTGCCCCCCCCCAGATGTACTGAATTTCATCATGATTATGATTTGCTAAGATTTCTTGAGTCCGTACAATGTGTGGGTCCTATTAAATTTTGTGTGCTTTCTCTCTCAAAAAATTCATGGCTGGACCCTGGAAATCACATTATAATAGAGATTTATTTTGAAAACATCACATGTTTTTCAGGTCAAAAAAGTGATAAGTGCTTATTGTGGCAATTTGAAAAACTAAAACAAAGACAGAAAAATGTAAATACAGGAATAAAAATAACAGTTTCACTACCTAGAAAGGGCAGTGTTTTGGTTTCTTGGAATATTTTTTCAATGTCTAATAGCAAAAATGATTGAACCTTTATAGAATTCATTATGTGCCAGTATAATTCTATATACATTGTGTGTATTAGATAATATAATCATCGTAGTACCCTTAGATGGGAGCACTACTCTTATCTCAATTTTATGGAGGAGGGAAATGATGGAAAGAGCGGCGAAGTCATATTTCCAATACCAAAGCATCAAGCCTACTCAGGCATTTCTGGTCTGCTTGTCATCCCACATGCTTTGCTATCTCATCTATATATAAAAAAATTGCATCTATTGTTTTATACACCTGGGATCATGCTTTACATACAATTTTATTCTTTTTTTTTTTTTTTTTCTGTACCGGGAATTGAACTCACAACCTTGCACTTGCCAGGCAGGTGCTGTGCCGCTGAGCTAAATCCCCGACCCCATTATTTCTTTTTCTTTCTTTTTTCTTTTTTTTTACGTACAATTTTAGATCCTGCTTTTTAACATGACATTATTTTGTGGGCATTTTTTCAAGTTTTCACATGTTCTTCAAATACTTCTAGTGGCTACATAGTTATAGCCATGATTACCTCCCATGGATGCATACTTAGGTTGTTTTTTGTTATTACAAAAAATGATGCCATGAATGTCTTGTGCAGCAAAATTTTGATCTGGTTTTTGACTACTTCCTCAGGACAGATTCCTGGAAGAGGATGACTTGGTCAGAATTTTTGGCAGTTCTTCAAATTCTTGGAGTGGAAAAAAGGAAGACAGAAAAGTGTTCATATGTGGAATGTGGACTTAAATGACAACATTTAGGAAAGTCCGAGAGATTCATGTGGGTTAAGAAAAAAAAAATCAGAGGAGAGTTTCTTGTCCGGGTGGAGTGGAAGAGGGGCAGGCACTCGATGGTGAGGAGCAGGGGCCTGTCAGGGGGGTGAGGGTGGGAGGGGCCTCTCAGACTCGGACACCCCTCCTTCCAGAAGTTAATTGACTTGACCAGGAGGCTGATGCAAGAATGCTTCTCTGAGTAGGGCTGAGGGAACAAAAATTTGGAAGACTGAGAAGGATGTGAGCCTTTCAGGGAGGGGGACACACAGTATGTGAAGAGTACAAGGGCCTTCGGTTGAGAGAGGGAGGACCTGAGAGATGCACTCAGAAGAGGTGGGCGGGGGCTGGGCCCTAAGCAGGCCTGGGGCCTCCTGCTAAGGAAGACGGAGGTCTTAGAGCAGCAGTGGAGGACGGCTGGAGTTTGGCCTTGAGGAGAGATGCGGTCGTACCTGCACTGCCAGCCGACCAATGCGGTGTCAAGCATTAGACGGGGTGTGTGGGGGTGAAGGCAGAAGACTCACGGGATAGCACGTTTCGGGGACTGGGAGGAGTCATCTCCCCAACGTGGTCCTGCAGTCCGGTTCCCAGGCACTTTGCCCGCAGCAGGGTCTGTGGCCCTGCGCCATCCCTCATGCCTCTCCAAGAGGGGCACCGACTGAACGTACACAAGACCCTGACATGGGAGTGAAAACGCCGCAGAGACAAAGGCACAAACCGTTCCTCTGTGTTGCTGAGAGTTAACATCCACCAGAGGTAGGTGCGTGTGTCGGAGCAGAAAATAATGAGTCCACGGACGTCTACAGTTAGCATCACGGGGCGCAGTGCAGGGAGCACTGCTGAGGGCCCCGTCCTTTGTCAGAGCTCGCTGTTCCCTTCCGAGCAGACAGGTCACTACGTGCGTCTCTCCGGGCAATAATTTTGCGGATGGTTGAAGATTTCGATCAACCAATCAAGCTCTTATGGAAGCTACTTTTCTTGATTGTGCCCCCAGTCTTTAGCTTGCCGAGAGCTTTTCCTCAGTGTGGTTCCACGGCCTCAATCTTTCACTTAATTTCTCTCTCACCACTTGCATCCGCTTTGTGCTGATATGTTCGTAGGTCTGCACAGAGCCCAGCATGATCTTCTAGCATGGACCTCCACAGCCCTGGAAACCCCTCTCCGCCCTGGAAACCCCTTTCCGCACTGGAAACCCCTTTGCGTCCTTCCCTCTACCCCGAGTGTCCCTTGGAAGAGCAGAGGGCCTTGGGAGCAGGAGGAACAGGGAACAAGGGGAGTTGAGATGGGCACTGTAGGACGTAGCAGATTCCGATGGCCGGGTGGCTGCGCTCAGGACCAGCCTGCGATTTGCAGAATGAAGCAGTGTGAATCAGTGCTCAAATGTGGGAGCCATATCCCTGCTTCAAGATATACTGATGAATATTTTGAATTTTAATGGATACATAGCTATTTCAGGGTGATTTATTCCGTGGAAATTATTACTCCTCTTTAAAATAAATTTTCTTGCATAACAAATAAAGGACTCAAACATGTTGGGTAAATTAGCTCAGATGTTGTGTGGAAAGTGCAGATGTGTGCCTGAAGACTCGGGGACACTGGTATTGTGCAATCAATTTTGGAATCAGAGCCATGGGTAAAATCCAAACTCTGTCCATTGTTTTTTTTTGTTTGTTTGTTTTTTCTCCGGTACCGGGAACTGAACTCAGGACCTTGCGCTTGCCAGGCAGGCGCTTTTGCCGCTGAGCTAAATCCCCAGCCCCTCTGCCCATTGTTAAATGTGTGCCCATGGGAAAATTGCTTCCTAGTTCTTGGCCTCAGATTTCTCACTTGTAAAATGGGGAGGTAAAAGCTACCTTTTGATATTGTTGAGGGATTTAAAGATTCATTTGCCCATTCACTTCTTTCAGTCATGAAAGAGTCATTGTGTGTCTGCTAGTGCCATTTACTCTCCTAGGTATGGAGGACACAATGGCAAATCAAATAGTATCTGCCTGATAGATTGCCATTCTAACTAGGTGACAGGGATGATAAACACATAGACAGGGATACAAAAAACCATCAAACACTAAGAAAGAGCAGAGTAAGAGATATTGTTAGTGGGCCTGAGCCCCAGGGAGAGAAGGAAAGAAAGGTGCTAGTTGTGTGCCAGGGAAAGAGGGTCTGGCAGGGGAGTGAAGGGACCTTAGATTTTGTGAACTGTAACAGGAAGTAGGATAGTCAACATGTGGTACCTGTTAAAAATGATATATTCAGTTGATATTTGAACAGCTATATTCCTAGTGGCTGCCATGAGCTGAACACAATATTAGGCTCCCAGATTTTAGGGATATCAAAATAAACTGCAGAGAGGAACTCAAATTCCTGTTAGGGGAACCATAGTCGAATCAGTATCAAATATTCATTGACTGCTTTTCTATGTCAAGCATAGTTGTGATAGGTTTAATGAAGTAGTCCAGGTAGTCTGTATAACATAAAAATATAGAAAAAATCAGTATCATCCTCATTTTATAGATGAGAAAGGTGTGGCACACACAGAGTTACTACACTGCCTGTACTGCCTCTCAACTTTCAAAGCAAAGTGAATTAAATGTGCTTCTCCTGAGCTTCCAAGTTCAGAGAGCAGCACAAACATTACCCTGAAGACGGACATCACTCGAGCGCAGGTGCTCCAACTCTGATGAGGGGAGCATTGCCTCTCTTCACTGGACTACAGTCTCCCCATCACCAACATGGGGTCAGCAAGGGTGTGTGTTCTGCAGGCTGGTCATGAGGATTAAAGGAGAAAGTGCTTTTGCATGGAGCCAGCCACGTGGAAAATACCTCTTACATCTGAGTGAGTGTCCCACAAGGGTCTGGGGGTCTGGGCCTTAAGGCATGAAGAAGACTAACAGGAAAAGAAGTTTAATTTTAGGTCACTGGAGAACATCCCAGGAAAGTAATGGAATGTTGGAAGTTTATGATGTGACTGACACCTAACTTGTGGTGGATGAGGATATAGCAGACATTTCTTTTTACTTTTGACCCCAACAAGAACTTGACAGCTATCATAAGGACAGTGTGTTAACCTGCTGAGGCTGCTACAGAGAGATGCTTAATCCATGGAAATCTCCTCTCACACTCTGGAGGGTGCAAGTCCAAGATCAAGGTGTCGGCATGGTTGGCTTCTCCTGAGGCCTTTCTCCTGGACTTGCAGATGGTCATTTCCCACTGTGTCCTCAAAGCCATTCCTCAGCGGCGCGTTTGTTCTCTTTGTGCTAAGCTATTCGTTGTCTGTGGATAGTTCTCTTAGGTTCAGGTGACCTCATTTCACCTTACTTTCCTCTTTTAGGGACCAATGAAATGGATTTTGTGGGAATATAATTCAGGCCATATGAAACAGTGAGGCTTTGATTCTTTCAACAGAATAGGTTTCTATGGTCTAACCTGGGCAACAGCAGGAGAGGGAGACCGCAAGCTTCCTGGTCGCGAACTCAGGGTCACTTCCTGGAAGATCAAGAACGGAGGAGGAGGTCAGGGAAGAGACATTGTAGAATTTGCAGGGCTCAAAGCCTGATTTCTTCAGCTTGGAGCCAAATACAAACACACACACACACACACACACACACACACACACACACACACACACAAAACAAGGAAAATCCAATTTGTCTCACTCTGGCCTCTTTCTCTTTTCCCAGGGATGAGTCTACTTATAGCTCCTTAGTTTTCCCATCTGTTAAGTGGGAAAAATAAAACTGGGATCTCATGGCTCCGCACGGGACACAGTCAGATGCCACTTTAGCACTGAGACTTGTGCAAACGCAGACTGGTTTCCTCCTTCCCGCTGATAAAGAACTGTCTCCCTTCCAGAAGACAGAAGCGACAAACTTGCATTTTCTAAGTATCAGAAATCCACGGTTTGGGTCTGAGCTATTCATTCACTTATGATCTGAGATTATTCCAAAAAGACTTTGCAGCTTAGCCTAATTGGGTAATTGGGATGTTTCCAGATGAAATTCGAGTTGTATTTTTAAAAAACCACTTTGAAGAACTGGTTGCCATGGTGCCGCTCTGCTGACAGAGCCCTCACTTGCTCCGCCTAAGCAGGGATAATGGGCTTCTGTTTATCTAAGGTTCAGGTTACCCACCTGAACGTCCTTCTGGGAGGAGGCAGGGTGTGAACCCAAGGAATCGTGAAGTCTTCTCTGAGTTTTCCTGGGTGGGGAGGATGTGTCTCACCTAATAAGGAGATTTGTCATTGTGGGTCGGGAGGGCTTTGGCCTCCCAGAGCTCAGCTGGCCCCAAGGGACTTCCCAGGCCACTTCCCCGTGGGGCAGCTGGGAGCAGAGGAAGAATGCACTGTGCATTTGCACATATAAGCAGGGTGGCTGCTCCAGGATGAGGAGGAATCCACTCACAGTTAGGGCGAATGGGTGTCTGGAAGGCTGAACTGCCTTTATTTAAAGACATACCATGGTCTTAAAAGTTAATATTAATGTTTTCATAGTATCACTGTTTTAAATTTGAGAAGGCCTTTGTTCTGAGTCAAGTTTTCAACCCAGTGGACGTGATTCTTACTCATCAGCCTTGAACTTCTTGGACCCGAGTGTTTATTATAAGAATGTGAAACATCTTCCCCAGATGCAGAATTTTGGCTTCATTAAAAGTTTTTCTAGTTCCTCTTCAGTCATGTCAATATTTACCTTGGACAATGCGTTGCATCCTTTTGTTTATAATTCCAGAATTCTCCAAGACAAACTGATTATTAGTGACTTTCTGGCCTGAGTTACAATTTAAACATACCTTAGGTTGACATTTTAAGAGTATGAATCGGCCAAACTATTTCCTCTCCTCATAGATTCATAATTTGTAGGAATCGTTTCATGCCCCATATTCTTTCTTCTCTCTGTTGTCTTTCAAGCACGTCTTTATTCTTAGCACACCAGCACTTTCTTCCTTTTCTTTTAAAGTCCCAAGGTCCCTCTCTCCTGCCAAGGATGCTTTGAACACAACAAGTTGTACCTACATTCTTTGAATGCATCCATTGTTTTCCTAGAGAGCACACTCTTCCACACTGCCTGCTCCCTCATACTGAATTTCTGATCACTGGCGCAGAGCACACAGGAAACCTGTCCTCACGGCCTAAAGATGGTAGTTTAGCCTTTCCCATCAAGGATAGTAGGGCTTGGTGGTAACAGAATAAGAAAGCTCAAGCATATTATCCGGTGAGGCCCTTAATCATACAGTCCTATGTATCTCAGTTCCTTATGTGGACATTTTAGCTGCAGAACACTTTAAATTTACTAAGTATTTCACACACACTCTTACATTTGATTCTTACAACAGCTTTGTGAGGGAGACCCAGAGGATTCGAGTGACCTGTTTAAGATCATAAAGTGAGTTGAATAAGAAAGTCTTTGCTCTTGAGCTCTTTATATTAATAAACTATTTGGACTTACACAAGTATTTCAGTTCCTCTAAAATACTGTACTTTTCTTGATTTTGAGAATCATTTTTGCTCTTTCCTTTGCTTGAACTACCCAACTTCCCCCTTGGGACTAGCAAAACTCTTGCTCATTTCTTAAATCTTAGCTTCAATTTCACTTTTTCTAGAAGCACTAACCTGCCCCCACCACCAAGTCCAGGCAGAAGTTTCCTCTTTTCCTGTGCTCCATCACACCCTTAAAATTACATTAACAAGTTTACCAGAATGTCCATTACATTTAACAAACAGTAGTTATGTTATTCTCCATCCAGTCTCTTCTCGTACTGCATCT